ATGCCTAGAGGGATGTCCTCTCAATTCAGTTTTTAGATTCTCCAGGATGACTCTATGATATGATTCCACTGTAAGTTCTTCATTCAAGAGGTTTGTTATTATCTGTGATTTCCCCTAACTGTGATAAATCTGGGAACATATCTCCCATCAATGCAGAGGTCATACTGTTGTCATCACCTTAGTAGTACTATTATATGCAAGGCAACCAAGAAGTTGCCAGATGAAAAAGAAATGATGTTCAGACTTTTAAAATAAAACAAGGGCAACAGATGGTATATCTAATAGTACAGCAGTAGCAGTAGTTACTGATTTACACGGAATAACAAGAGAATTCTGACCACTAATGTAATCAAGAAACACAATGGTTCAGCTAGCTCAGGATATGTGGCTGCATGTGCCTTAGGATGAAATGGCATCTCCTTCATTTGACATACTGGATTGGCAATTATTGGAAAATGGAAGTCCCGCCATTATTGCATTCCCACCATTCTTGAATACAATTAATTTGCTTTGGACTTGAGGACCAACTATGTGGCACACACATGTGGCCTTCAAGAGAGGGAAAATTGCCCTGGCAGGAGCATTCAGAAGGAATACTTGGGGAAGGCCTAGATAAGGCAGGGTGCCTGCCACCTGAGAGAGTTCATGCTTAATAAAATGGCAGGTACCTGGGCAAAGATCAGGCAGTAATATTGAGTTTCTGTAAATGCTGACACATGTACAACATTTTTGAGACCTCCAGACCTTGATAACTATTGTTCAGAAGCGCATAGCAGGCTTTTCCTACTAGTTATATATATTGTTTTCTTCATGTCTGACATTCTAGCAGCTATTCTTATTAGCCATGAACAGTGCTTTTAAATATTATCTGTTTACAGGCAATATCCTGTCGCTTCCATGAACTGCAGAAAAAGGAGTTTGTAAGTTGTTTTTTTAGGGAGCAGCATGCCAGACCACTGAAAAGTCTACTCAACTGCTGAAAAAAGAGGAGTCAGATAATATTTAATTAAATAAGTCCTGACACAGCTTGATCGACTAGTGAGCAAAAGAAAAGTTAAACAGCAACTCACTTCAGTCCTGACCTCAATTCAATGACAGGTCTGACATTCCATATCTCTGCTGGCAAAGTGCATTGCAGAGTTGCAGGGGAAACAATGCCACACACTGATTTATAATCATAGCCTTTTACAAATGAAAGCCCGCTACTTTTACACTTGAGTAAAAATTGGGCCTCCACCATAGGGAACCAAAAAACTCATTTGGATACATGTGGAGTTTTAAAACATAACCCTGGATCTTTGAATCGATCTTGTATCTAATTGGCAACCAGTGCAAAAACCTCTGCACTGAAACATACAGAAACTAGCTATTGTGTATGTTTAAAATCACAATGGTGGAATTATTGTAGATGTTATTGTTTACTGAAGACAGAAATGATTAAAATATGCAAGCAGAGAATTAGAGCAATCTAACCAAATTAAAATCTTGGAAACTCTGAAAGAGTTACTTGCTGTATTTCTAAACTGACAATAAGAATTATGTCCCTCTCCAAAGAACATGATCCCCAAGAAAAGTGAAAAATACAGCATTTGTCTGGGATATGAAGAAAAGAAGGGAAAAAAGGATGGCCCAAACAATTACCATCCGGTCAGCCTCACGTCGATTCCAGGCAAGATTCTGGAAAACATTGTTAAGGAAGTGGTCTGCAAACACCTAGAAACAAATGCGGTCATCGCTAATAGTCAACATGGATTTATCAAAACCAAGTCATGCCAGACTGATCTGATCTCTTTTTTCGACATGGTAGATGTGGGGAATGGGTAGATGTGGGGAATGCGGTGGATGTAGCGTACCTGGATTTCAGTAAGGCCTTCGACAAGGTCCCCCATGACCTTCTGGCAAACAAACTAGTCCAATGTGGGCTAGGCAAAACTACGGTGAGGTAGATCTGTAATTGGTTAAATGGACGAACCCAGAGGATGCTCACCAATGCTTCCTCTTCATCTTGGAAAGAAGTGACGAGCAGAGTGCTGCAGGGTTCCGTCCTGGGCCCGGTCCTGTTCAACATCTTTATTAATGACTTAGATGAAGGGTTAGAAGGCATGATCATCAAGTTTGCAGATGACACCAAATTGGGAGGGATAGCCAATACTCCAGAGGACAGGAGCAGGATTCAAAACGATCTTGACAGATTAGAGAGATGGGCCAAAACTAACAAAATGAAGTTCAACAGGGACAAATGCAAGATACTCCACTTAGGCAGAAAACAAAATGCAAAGATATAGAATGGGGGACGCCTGGCTCGAGAGCAATACGTGTGAAAAAGATCTTGGAGTCCTTGTGGACAACAAGTTAAACATGAGCCAACAATGTGATGTGGCGGCAAAAAAAACCAATGGGATTTTGGCCTGCATCAATAGGAGCATAGTGTCTAGATCTAGGGAAGTAATGCTACCCCTCTATTCTGCTTTGGTTAGACCACACCTGGAATATTGTGTCCAATTCTGGGCACCACAATTCAAGAGAGATATTGACAAGCTGGAATGTTACAGAGGAGGGCGACTAAAATGATCAAGGGTCTGGAGAACAAGCCCTATGAGGAGTGGCTTAAAGAGCTGGGCATGTTTAGCCTGAAGAAGAGAAGGCTGAGAGGAGATATGATAGCCATGTATAAATACGTGAGAGGAAGTCACAGGGAGGAGGGAGCAAGCTTGTTTTCCTCTTCCCTGGAGACTAGGACGCAAGGAACAATGGCTTCAAACTACAAGAAAGGAGATTCCATCTGAACATGAGGAAGAACTTCCTGACTGTGAGAGCCGTTCAGCAGTGGAACTCTCTGCCCCGGAGTGGTGGAGGCTCCTTCTTTGGAAGCTTTTAAACAGAGGCTGGATGGCCATCTGTCAGGGGTGATTTGAATGCAATATTCCTGCTTCTTGGCAGGGGGTTGGACTGGATGGCCCATGAGGTCTCTTCCAACTCTTTGATTCTATGATTCTAAATCTTCCAAAATAACTGAGGTTACCAGCATGATTAACATTCATGGTCAATATCACAAGAGGGCCACGAGCCCCTGGCATTTTCACACGATGTGGAAAAACTTTTTGCAAGGGAGAGGAGAAGAGAGGATGTCACCAAAGAAGCTGGAACCTTATTTTACCGGTACCATGATGGAGGAAGGTGGCAGGCTTACAATTGGTATCTCATGATATCATGTGACAGAGATCGCCATAAAAGTTGACAGGCCTGATACGGTGCCAATCTACCTCCATGTGACAAAGTCCCAAGATTAATCTTCCCTATGGCTGAGACAATCTTCATGTATTCAAAACTGGTCTGTGCAAGATAAAAGAAAGTAGGTTGCTGTAATTGTTTCTGTAGTGAAACCATTTTAAGTATAACTTCTAATATTTATGCTAGTTTTTCCAGTAGAACCCTCTTTTTATTGCTTCTTGCTTATCTGGTTTGTCCAAAGTGCTAAGCCAAATATATGCAATTTGAGAATCTAAAAAGCCTGCACTGAAGGCTTTATTGGCCACAATTTTACACAAAAGACAGCAGCAACTAAATTTCCTGATCAAGTCTAGACAGCAACATTACTGGGAATATTTTTGGTCTGAATGTTGAAGCCAGAATTCTTAATCTTACTAAGGTAAATTACAAGCACACAAACTAAGGGCAGAAATGCACACACAGAAACACACATATACAATGGACAGAAGAGGAAAATGAGATATTAAATTTCTCAATGATTTTATGCTACAACCATAAGAGATAGACAATCTAAAGAGCAGTTTCATTTGGCCACATGAGATACTCTCTCACAATTTATCAAGGTGGAGTAAAACAATTTCAGACAATGTCATTAATTGGTAAAAGAAATTGTTATGGAAAGGGGGTACTTAATGCTTCACTGCTCCATTCTTTCCATGTTTTAATTTCTTTCCTGACAATATTCCCTGAGCATGAAGTCTAAGCAACATCAACCTTATCACATACGATGCTGTGTGGCAGATATGCTGTTGTCAGGAATGGATGGTAAAAAAAAAAATGGTTCAAAACTCGACTTGGATATAGGGGGAGCTGGTGGATTGATTCTAAAGTCACTTCCAAATTTTCCTGAAAAAAGTCAGAACTTTTCAAAACTTCCAAAACTTCCGAATCAGATCGTTAAAGGCAGACGTGATTGTGCAATATGCGGAAAACAGCACTGGCACTAGGGAAACTCCAGGGCCTTCCCTCCCTCATTTTTACACCAATCTTGATGAAACTTGATATAATGCTACAACACATCCTCCTCTGTTAGCATACCACATTTCAACATGTTCAGACAATCCACTGATTTTTAAATATTTTTAAAACAATTTCAGAAATAATTTATTAAAATTAAAATAAAAGAGCTACCTCCTTGAATTTTTAATTCCCCCCAACTTTCAGACACATTCATATATCTCCCAATATTCGGTACATTTTTAAAGATGCCACAGAAACTTTTTTATTAAAAAAATTGAATTTCTCTCATTAACCAAAAGAAGATACCAATTTCAGAGAAAGGAGTGACCCCAATAAAAAATAGCCAAGCTTTAGTGGTGAGCAAAAAAAGAAGTTTCAAGAAATGACTTTATTAATTTCAACCACTTCCTTCCTCCATCCCAGAATAGAGTCACTGAGGCGGTGACTCTGTTTTGGATTTTAAAATACTAGAGCTGGATAGCTTCTAAACAGTTAGGACTGAAACCCAGAGTGGATTAAGTGTTGCACTGACACCAGAGCTTCGAGTCACCACTTCTCTATCTCTCCCCACCATCACCACCATTTTCCAGCACTTCCTCCATGTCTTCCTTTCCACTTAACAAACTACCAAGGGATTGCTCTTGCCAGAGGTCAAATCTGATTACTTGCAGAAGAGTTTTTAAATATGCTTTTGAAAAAATCTGGTCCACTGAAATATGCATCAACAATCATCTTGTGCAGGCAGAAAATGCACTTGCTGCTCACTGAGACAGATGGACAGATTATAGCTTTAGCGATTCTGAATTTATAATATTATTCCTTAACAACATACATTTACAATGAGCATGTACTCATTTTTATAGTGCTGAGAGAAGACAGCCCCTTCAGATCTTATGGAAATCAATTCCATCTAGACGAATTGGTGAGTTTGCTTTTCTCTCTCTCTCTTTCTCATTCCTCTTAGCAACCCAGGTTTTTCAAAACAGCTCCATTTTCATATTGGGGGGAGGGGGGAGAGAGAATTGACAGAAGGGATGATCAAGTCCAATCTACAAAAAAACCCTAGCCAAATAATGATATACACTGACCCATCAGATATATCCACATATGTACTTTGAGTGTCATTTTCAAAGAGGTATTTTGTGCCTCCTTGCAGAATGTTATCACATTTGGCATGCAAGAGTAACTGGGGGAGGAGGTTCTAGGTAAAGATCCATTATTCCTGATGCATTTGGTGAAGAATGAACAAATTTGAGCCCGCCGCTTCTTCACTGGGTATCTGGGATGTGTCAAAGCACTAGAATTGCCAGGCATCCTCAGAGGTTGAGGAGTCTGTTGGAAACAAAGTAAGTGAGGTTTATATATCTGTGGAATGTCCAGGGTGGGGGAAAGAACTCTTGTCTGCTTGAGGTACATGTGAATGTTGCAGTTTGCCACCTTGATTGGCTTTTAATGGCCTGCAATTTCAAGGCCTAGCTGGTTGCTGCCTGGGGAAAATCCTTTGTTGGGAGGTGTTAGCTGGCCCTGATTGATTCATTTCTGGAATTCCCCTGCTTTTTGAGTCTTGCTTTTTATTTATGTTCTGATTTTAGAGGGGTTTTTTTAAATACTGGTAGCCAGATTTTATTCATTTTCGACTTGCAAAAACCTGCATGCTTTTTCATCTCTATTTTTGTTCCATTTCCAACTCAAAGAAACCGTGAACTTCTAGAACATCTAGAAAAGGCAGTCTTCCTTGATTTTCTTTTTCCATGGTGAACTGGATGTTTGGGTGGGTGCGGTTAAGATGGTCCAGGAACCTGTTTCGTTCTTCTTCTCCATGGCTCCAAATGGGGAAAGTGTCATCCACATATCTGAACCATATAGTGGGCTTTTTTGTTGCTGTTTCCAGGGCTTGTTTTTCAAAGTGTTCCGTGTAGAAATTAGCTATGACCGGGCTGAGAGGGCTCCCCATCGCCCTCACTCCTGCTTCTAAGGCAGCAGTTTTATTTTGTGATGTTAGCAGGGGAAACAAATGTGCCTACAAGCAAAGAATCTCTATTGATTTCAGAGTCCCTTCTCCCAGGGAAATGGGTTTAAGGCTGTAGTCTTGTAACAATATTGAGCCCAAATTTGTCAAAAGTCTGCCTGCTGGGAATACTGTAGCTGAAGAGCCTACATTGAACAGGTTGTCGGATTTCATTGCCCATGAGCCCCCTTTCCAGCTCTAGGCACTATAACGTCAAATAAGTGGATTCTCTTCTTAGCAGCTTTTTTCCCTGTCCAAATTTCATAACCACACAGATATTAGAAGCACAATGGCATGGGCAATTCTGGCTCTGGTATTCCATATTGTATCTTTACACAATAAATTCCTCACCCTTGTGAGAAAACCATCCCCATCTCTGAGTGAAGAGAACTATGTAAACCCCAAATGTTTTATCATTTTTTAAAAATATATCTCATCAAAACCAATACATTTGTTGTCTGAAGTTGGGACGCCCCAAAAAGGTTGAGGTTTAGGAATCACTATAATTACCCTGCCCAACTTCAGAAATTAATCCCTAGCTAAGTAACACTGACAATTTCCCATTTTCCTCTCCCCACCACAAAACGGATCTTCAGCCAAGCCTTGGAATAGGGCAGAGATTGGAACTCAGATATCTTCTGTTCCCATGAAGATACAATGAATTCATCCCAAAGATGACTCAAGCTCGTCATCCCAGGATTACTATCCATTGTTTAATCAAGGAAGCTTCCCTTTCCAGCACTGATATCAATCAGCAAACATTGTTTCCCCTGAAGTAATCGCTTCCTCTGCTAATGAGATTGCACAGACATGGATACAGAAAATGGACCCCAGAATTCCTTCAATAAAAAGAACTTTATTTTAGAATGGCCAAAAATCTTCTACAGCCCCGAAAACCCACTTTACTCTTTTTCGTTGCTCCTTCCTTCTGGGACCATTTTTATTCTCAATAACAATAATTATCAAATTATCAAAATAAAAAGAACTTTATTGAATTTCCCACCAATCACAAACATAAACATAACAATAATGAATGTCCTTTGAACCAATGAAATACCCGAGTCGTAATTTGTACAAATAAAAGCAGTATCTGCTGTTTACAAATATTTATAAAATATCCAGGTCTATGAATGTAAAGCATGTCAGATCTGGAAGATGTCTCCCTGACACCCTTCTTTGACCAAACAAAGCAAAAAAATTATCTCTGACTCTTCCCTCAAACTCTGCGTGTCTCTATTGAGTTGATTGGAGCTTGGCATGCCGGGCTGAATCCCAAGATTTTGGACAACAGCTTCAGTCTTCTTGCTGTTAATCGTAGTATTTTGTTCATTGTTTTCCTCTGGAAAGAATATTTCTGTTTCTACAAAACAAAACAAAAACGATTAAGAGGAGAAAATAAAACAGTAATACCAGTATGACGATGGAAATAAACCACTCTGGTCGTACTTTAATTAACCTATGAGATTGCTGAAGTCTATTCTAAAACAAGTTCAACACCTAGAAAAACTGCCACCAAGATCACACTATATGCTGGAGCGGATTTACCACCACCTTGATATTGTATCCCCTGGAAAAAGAAGTCCCAGTCACATTGGGAAATCAGCAAGGACGCCACAGGGACTTGAACCCCGTCCTGGAAGCCAGGAGTGCCAACCACCAGCGTCTTTTGCTTTTTTCTGGCAATGCAACAAGGGGAAAAGCAAAACCTGAGAGAACACAAGTGTGTTCTCTCAGGAAAAGAAAACCTTACATGTCTTCTGTAGCTGAGGGTAAATATCAGGTCATTAAAGCAAAGAAACCCCATAGAAATAATTTGAAGAATACATTTGTATGTAGAGCAAGAGGAATTAAATGTACTTACATGACTTCTGTGGCTGAGGGTAAATATCAGGTTATTCGAGCAAAGGAACACAATAGAAGTAAATAGAAGAATACATTTATATGTAGAGCAAAGGGAATTAAATGTACTTAGATGACTTCAGTAGCTGGGGATGAATATCAGGTTATAAGAGCAAAGGAACCCCATAGAAATAAATCAAAGAATACATTTTTATGTAGACCAAGAGGAAATAAATGTACTTACATGACTTACGTGGCTGAGGATAAATATCAGGTTATTAGAGCTCAACTGTTTATAACATAGAAAGGAATCCCATAGAAATAAAAAGAAGAATACATTTCTATGTGGTGCAAGAGGAATTAGATGCCCTTACCATATACACTCGGATATAAGCTGAATTTTTTCACCCCTTTTGGGGAGCTGAAAAAGCCCCTCTCAGCTTATATCTGAGTAAAGGTTCTCAACGTTGCCTTTGCCTCTGCAGTCCCCTCCTCCGCTGCATCCTTTATTTGCGGCAAGACCTCCGCGTGTGGCTTGCTGAGAGCTGACCTGGCCCCTCGCGGCGGCCTGGCCTGGTCCCTCATGGAGGCCTGGCCTGACCCCCCACGGAGGCCTGGCCTGACCCCTCACGGAGGCCTGGTCTGGTCCCTCACCGAGGCCTGGCCCGGCCCCTCGCGGAGGCCTGGCCTGACCCCTCACGGCAGCCTGGCCTGGCCCATCGTGGAGGCCTGGTCTGACTGCGCGCAGAGGCCTGGCCTGACCCCTCGCGGAGGCCTAGCCTGGCCGCTTGTGGAGATCTGACCTGGCCGCTCGCGGGGACCTGACCTGGCTGCTCGCGGGGGCCTAGGCTGGCCTGGCCTAGCCACTTGTGGAGACCTCGTTGCAGTGGACATAGTGGAGGAGGAGGCTGTGGAGGCGAATGCAAGGATGGGGCCAGGAGGTGCCTATGGAATGTAAGTGGAATGAAATGTACTTACATGACTTCTGTGGCTGAAGGCAAATATCAGGTTATTACAGCAAAGAAACCCCATAGAAATAAATAGAATAATATATTTCTATGTAGAGCAGAATGAATTAAATGTACCTACCTGACTTATGTGCCTGAGGATAAATATCAGGTTATTGTAGCACAACTGTTTAAAACATAGAAAAGGAACCCCATAGACATAAATTGAAGAATACATTTCTGTGTAGAAAAAAGGAATTAATTGTACTTACATGACTTCTGCAGCTGAGGATGAATAGCAGGTTATTAGAGCAAAGGAACCCCACAAAAATAAATCAAATAATACATTTCTATGTAGACCAAGAGGAATTAAATATACTTTTTTATATATAGTAATGTTTATTGAATGCATTTTCTTTCCAGTTATACATAAAAAACAGTCTACAAAAGTGTAATACTTTGGAAAAGGGATTTAGAGTTTGAGAGAAAAGGGAGGAGAAGAAAGGGGAAAGAGGAAAGAAAAGGGAGAGAAACGGGGGGGGGAGAAGGAGATAATGGTATAGAAAAAGGTAGTGAGGGGTGGGGAGTGTGGGAAAAGCGTAGAGGGCAGGGAGGGGGATAGTAAAAACCAAGTTCTTCGACTTCCAAACTTCTTCTTCCAGTAAACCTTGTAAGTCTTTTAGTTTATGTAACATCTTCCCTTATCACTTGTGTTGCATTTAAAGCTTGTAGTATCATTCTTTACATTTCTTTCTCTTCTCTGGTGCAGTTAGCCTTGGTCTCTTCTTTATTATCTGTTGGATTCGTTCCTCTTTATCTTAGTGTTAATACTTTTCTTCCTTTGTTTATTTGATACTTTCTTTTGTTTGTTTATTATCGTTGTATTTGTTCTTATACTTATTTACTATTTTGTCCTCCTGTTTATTGATGCTTTGGAGTAAGTTCTTCCGTAATGTATTCATCTACTATTTTCCAATTTGTCTTTAGGATCGGTCTTCCGTAAGAATCCTTTAAGGCAAAGGTCAATTTATCCGCTTCTTTTATTTCTTGGATTTTTGTTAACCATTCATCTTTCGTCGCTATTTCTCTTTGTTTCCATTTCTTTGCTGTAACCATTCTGGCAGCAGT